GTTCCCGCGTTTACAGAATCAGACACCGGTAAAATAAATCGAGTTTGGAAACCGAAAGAGATGGAGAGAGAGAGGGAGAGAGAGAGAGATAGAGGTATAAACTCGGTGGCCTAATGGCCACGTATATGCGCATGTTCAAAACTTAAATATCCCGTGTGGGAATCCAGGCTGAGTAGCTTGTCGACCAGTAGGAGGTGCAAGCAGGAAGAGTCACAAGGGATGGTACAGCTCAATAGCGAAGCAAAAGGGACGAAACAAACTGGCAAAAGTAGGAACAGGTATACCTGATCTTCAATCGTGATACGATTTTTCCGCTTGTATTAAAGGTTAACAGCAATATAAATTTAAATTTTTCGAGACGTAATGTATTATGCCATGAGGTCACTACCTTACTATCATATTTTTTATTGGCTTGCTGTACAATTTGTATATCTTTAGATATATTTGGAAAGATTTAACAAGCAAACAATCTTACATTACCGTTAGTAAACTGAATTGTGCAATATTTACAATACGTTCCACAAATAAATTGACAATATGCATGATCTTGAAAAACTGCTATACATGATAATAATTATGTAACTAATGTATAATTTAACTACGACTTATTTTATGTAAAACTAATATTTACTCAACGAAAATACAATAACAATGTCCTCGTTTACGACAAGTTAAGGTTAGGTATTTGTTTTTCTATACATAGATGGTATAAAAGAACGTCTGTATCTTTCAGTTCTTGTTTGGGGATGGTTGGAAGGTTCAAGCTTTCCTTGTTCTTTACTTCGAGTGTTACGTAGGCGGCAGCAAATGTGAGAGTCTGTGATCAGGATTGGTGAGAACTCAAAAGAGCTCGTAACGCTGATCCTAACGCCAGTCATACAAGGCAGTTACGCCAAAGCTAATTAGACTGTCCACCGTGACTTACGATGACTTTAGGCGATATAAGGGAAAGAGCTCTTTTCTGAACTCTCTCGATGTCATCTCTTAAATAAGCTGAGAGTGATGACAAGGATGACACAAGAGGGAAATATCCTAGGACGGGTCTGATGACAGTGCGCTAAAAGTTGGCGATATCAGCTGACAAGACATCAGCGCTTCGCAAATTAACGAGAAAGTAGGGGCGCTTATTGGCCTTTTTTTAAAATAAAGTCAGTCATGTAATTATTCCACTATAGGTAGTTAAAGTTTGACCAAGAATCTTTGCACTGTCTACAGCTTAAAGTTCTTGCCCCCTTCCCTCCCTCTCTCCCTCCCTCCCTCCCCTTCAGACCAGAGGGGGCTGAAAGAATGCTTATGCGTCTTGAAATCAATAACCATCTTTTAGCACATATCAGGATTTAATTGCACGTTCTGGTCGCGAGACCAGTTCAGACGACTGTGAACGCACTTAGGACATTCCCTTATTCATGACGACGCACAACTTGAGCAGTTTCTGTATCGTTTCCACGTACTTCCAGGTGTGTACGTCTGGGATCTTGAGTTCGTTTAACATCAGCAGCATCAGAATTTAAGGAACCCCATCCTAAAAAAAACTTCCGTCCGCAGACAATTTGACTAATGTCAGTTCAGGCAAATCGTTGGATCTCCGTATCATGTAAGTATAGGTAATAACATGATTTCGAGTGCAATTTGGTATCAATAAGCACGAATAAAATTTTCAAGGACAAAAGAATTGCACAAGCTCGTAGGGCAAGTGAAATAGACCTTTATCAAGTTTGGATTGCGTGGCGCACCAAATCGAGGCTAGACGGGCATAAGGTATATGAAATATTTATTCATTTCAAATCCATAACACTGTATTCAATCGATGAATCTAGTATTCTTTTTAAATGACGTTTTTTATTTTACTTTTGGCTCAGGCTGTCAAACGAACATGGTTATGTTTTTATTTACTTGGATTTGGTGATATGTATTTGGTGATTTGTGAGGCGTGAGTGGCCCAGTGGTCAGAGCGCTGGACTCTGGGTCGGACGGCCCGGGTTCGAGTCCTGGATGGGGCACTACGTTGTGGCCTTAAGCAAGTCGCTTCACTCACCTTGCTTCGTCTTCTCGGATAAGACGTTAAGCCGGAGGTCCCGTCTCCTGCAGGGTTTGGGGTAGGAGACGTTAATTTCCCACGCACGAGATTACTGTGTGATGGATGTCCTCCCCTGGGTTGGGTTGGGTGGATTTTAGTGTTGTAATGCGCACTCGATCATATTATCGCATGTTAGACTGCGCAATATAAGAAATAAACATTATTAATATTATTATTATTTATGTAATAATGAGATTCTCCCTCGTTTAATCGCGCTATAATTTGCGGTTTTAAACGAATTTTTCAGATAAAGAAAGGCTCCACTCTGGTGTGCTCAGTTCACTTCAAGCCAGAGGATATGTTTAAGACTATAACTGGGCTTACCCGTCTAAAACATCGTAGTTTGCATGGAACAAGGAGGGTAAAGAGCGCCGACAAAACAAATTGCAGGAATAAAAAAATTTTGCAGAATAGCAAGCAGAAGAGAAGCGACGTCAATTCTTTGTTAATTCAATCCGGTTCAATACTCATAAAAAACTGCTAGCTGAGTCTTCAATCGAGAGGTAAAGTCGATCGCTAATAACACGTTCATCTTACAGCTCACTGGTCACGACGCGACCCTTACTTACCTCGAAATCCGGCCCTTCAACTTACCTTGTGGCGGCAATTCATTTCGATCTCAATGAGTCATTCGAAAGAAAGTTGAAGAAAGATAAACTCTCATTACTTTTGTTTCGTTTGTCGTTACTACAGAATTTAACGTAGTAATGTTTGTGGGCCATGCTTACTTGTAATATTCACTCAAAACACCGCAATGTAACACAAAAACTATACCTTGTACCCGTCCAGCCTCGATTTGGTACGCCACGCAGTCCAAGATGGCGCTGCGTGATAAAGGTGTATTTGTGTGCTTTTACACCAAATTACAGGAGAAATCACGTTGTTATTAATAATGTACACACGAAAACATCACAAAAAGGCAAAACAGGCGAAATTTTCAAAGGATGTGCGCGCTATTTGTAATTTGCACCAATGTTACAATTTTGTAATTCTGAGTATACTCACACGAGACATTCAATGTGAAAAGTTGATTCAAGATGAATCAGTCAGTCTACTAGTATCCTGATAAAATCTTAACATGTGCACCTTGAAACCAGGGGTTCTACTAAAAGAACCTGAGCTACGCCAGATACGAAAAACCACTAAAAAAACCACTACAAAAAATGTGTGGATAAGTATTCCCCCGATCCCCATCTAATGCAGCAGAACAACACCCCGAGGAAAGGGTTAAATAACCTGGTTGCACTACTAATCACAATGAAAACTCGATGATTGTGATGATATTTTACGGGGAGTTGGAATCACAAAATTACAACAAAATACACGAAAGAAAGTGATCAAACTCTAGATTGACCGACCTAGACTTAATTTTACCGCGAAAAACTTAAATATTCCGAAACTTCCATGATGCCACGAGAATCTCTTTCACGCCCCATCAGAATATTAATTCTCTGACTGATTTGTTCCCATGTCATTCAAATATCAGAAATCACATCTCGTGTTACAACTTTGCACTCGTATTACATGAGAATACACTCGTTTTCAGCCAATCAGAAGCGAATAAATATTTCATGTACATTATTAGAGCTAATATCAGTAGCACTACATTGGGAGATATCTCTATGATGATTGTAAATATGAAGATTTATTAACAATGTAAACCCCTCTACGCCCAAGATCTCATCAGTAATTCTCCTTATTGACTTTCATACAATTGTTATGATGTTAGTTCGGAGAATTTGATATTGGATAAACTGATAATCCCGTGACTGATATCATTCTTTGTTCTCATCCTTTGTCTGCATGATATTGTATTAATATTGTGAGGGGAAATTTTGTCTTAGTCATTCATGAGAGTTAAAGGGTCAATCAACTTGCGAATGATACAATGTAAAAATATTTATTTTTGTAAGCCCAAAAGCTTGTTATTTCGGTGTAATGAAAATAGAAATACTCTGAGATAACACGCCTGCCCCAACCCCCCCCCCCTCCCCACTCTTCTTGCATCCCTACATCCCTTGTGGGCTCGCGCTCAGGCTTTCGCCCGGAAAGCCTGGTATCCAACATTAAACGTGTGCTGACTCTGATTATTTAGATTTCTCTTTGACTACAGTTTACAATTAAATGTCAATAATGACAATAAACAAATCAATTCCTACAAATTTCCAATCATTTCGCACAGTATGTCTGAAATCATCGGCCCTAGCATAAAAACACCTCTTTTCAGTATTTTTTTTTTCGTCTTGACACACCGTGCGTCGAACAATGATACTCAAAAGAGCGGAAGAGCTAACTGCTCCACTGCATATAACAATAACTGAAAGGTTCCCGAAGGCTTCCCTATGAACGTCATAGAAGCAATAAAATTACTGGAAAAAAAATTACTGGATAGTCTGGAGAGATAAACTACTTTAGGGATCAGTTTTCCACTCCAAAATTATGTAGCTATGTATCTGCCAATTCTTACAACATTCCCACGCATACGGATCATAAACTTCGCTGTCACGCCAACTGACCTCTTCCGACTAATTTCTTACGCTAAACAGAATGTTTGGATTTGAGCTACCACAGCTATTGAAGTTTTTTTTTTCAAAATATACCGACTAAAATGAAAACAAATCAGTACGAGAGATAAGAGGTTTATACACAAGATCCTATTTCCAACGCAAATCATTCGATTATGAAAACGAAAGCGATCGAAATATGTGTCTTTCAAACAACCCTCCAAGACGCCTTCGGGATCATACAAATGTACTTTGGAGGTCATTGGATGTGATCGAGTCTTCCACGATATTGCTAACACGCCTGACTCCAAAAGAGTTGGCAGAAATCAAATAATACAGGAAAGTGACACAAAGAAAAATGGTAATATTAAATACAATCTCGACTTCTAATCCCGGAAGTAAAAGGTTATGCCATCTCATCTATTACTAAATCTAATCAATAATCAATGAAATTTACCCGTACCGAAGGATCATGGTTTAGGCTCGAGTAGATTTGTCATTGTCACAGAGATGTTTGTCCCGATCCACAATTATTTTCCTGTCCTAAGCCGATTTGTTTACATCTCTTGCAAGTATTTACTCAGAGGTTGCCCAGTGCGAAGATGTGCTTCGTACCCCTCCAGCCATATCAGCCCTTTCATAACCACTTGGTACAGTGTGTTGTTATCTTTCCACAAGGCCGGTCTAAAGTGGCAGATCTGAGTGCAACCATCTATGCTGCCCAATGTATGGTTATCACTACTCCCACCACTAAGCGGAGAACCGTCTTTCGCTCTCAAACAGGAAGAAGGGTTACTGATTATCATCTTCGGACATGAATTCGGGAAATCTCCAGGAAGATACACCCTGAGTGTATACTGTTTATCATTGGTGGTTGTCACTCTTACTTCAACCTTCGTATCGCCAGTCGGATTGATCCATGAAACTCTGTTACCAAAGTACTCCTCGAGAATGTTTTTCTCGAATCCAAGCCTTTTTTGCTGAGTTGTTGACCATGGCATTTTGAAGATGGACAAAGGCAACTTTCAGTTTGTCTGTACAAGTTTGAAACGAGGAACACTCGCTAAATTCAAAGCCAGTGAATGTCGCGAACAAGTATTTCCGAACCGCTTTGCTTTAGCTAGCGTTTTCGCATCACATTTCAGTTTTCCGAGAAATTGGAGCATGCGTAAATGGCTCTTGCGTGACTCAGGAAGATAATGAGTAAATGATGCGTGGGCGTTTTTCACGGAAAACTTTGTTTACAATACAACAAACTTTTGTGTACGACCGACTGCTACTCTTTGAAGCAGGTAATTTTTATTTTTTTTATGATTTCTACAGAAAATAAAACTGATTATTTTAAAAACTTCAATTTTAAATTAGGGGCACTTTTAATTCTGCTTTCATGTGGATCGAGAACAATTCTTAGCTCACACACGCTGGTTTTATCTTCGTTGAGCCCTTCTACAAGGGTAACATCTCCATTAAATCAAAAGAAGAAAGGATAAGGAAAGGAAAAGAAAAGGTTACACTTCTTACCCTAACGTAATAGTCTAGCATATCTCAAAATCACATTGCATAGTACGGTGGTTCAAACAAAAGACGATAACAATCGGAACGCTCTCGAAAGTTTGGCGAAAATGTTGTTAACATATCCAATATTACGCGGTCATGGTTCAAGTTCCATGTATCATTCAAAATTTTTCATGCCCAAGAACTCTATCGGGGCGCGAGTGAACCTTGCAATAAGCCGGAGCGGAAAGGACCGGATTGGAGTGGACCCAGAACTCTTGTAAACCTACCCAATAAAAGAATGAGAGAAATATGAAAGTAGTCCGAGGAAAGATCCTTAAAAATATGATAGAAATATCGTATACACTTAAAAAAACACGTGTTCAATCTGTTTTTGTTTTCTAATTATATTTTTTTTTTCTTGGAAAGACCGGTAGTTTGACTCAAGTTCTTCTTGGAATCGAACAAAATGTTTGTTTCCACTCAAAGACCTATCCGCAAACAACACTCGTTTCATGGAATCTTGAAAAAGTTGGTAAACACCTGCTATTCATTTCGTCTTCGAAGCTGAGAGTATTTTTACGCCTAAGAAGATGATAACTCCATAACAAGAGATTGTCCAAATAACCAATAGAGTTAAATGTATTATTTCTTCGAAGCAAAATGAATATGAATATTAGAATTCAGTTACGCTGCACAGGAGTGATTCTCCAGTTTAAGTGAGGGAGGTATAGTTGGGAGTTATGTTGTTTTTGAATTAAGAATGATATGCTCATGCGCAAAGAAAGCAATTTGAGGGGAAAAAATGCCTCGAGCAATTTCGTTACGTCATGTCCACCCCGAGCAAGGCTGCAATACCATATAAGGTCACATAATTATGTCTTTCTTTGTACTTTTCATGTACACAAACTGCATTTATTAATTCACACCTTTTTTCATGAAGACATTTAAACATCATGTCGTCAACGCCCTCGATATAATCCAACTTCTGATAGAAAAGCTGCTTTCAAAATTAGAGGGTCCATGCTATTAATATCGCCCCTTAACTTTAGTAGGAAACATGGAAAATTCCAAAAATTGATCGAATTAATATTCATTCCACTTAAATCGACGAATTGATATCTCTTTAGTGTAGATATTCCTGTTAGACAAAAAGAAAAGATCCTAAGATTATTATATAGTTGACACTAGTTGTCATTGAGCCCTCTAATCCCAATTTAAAGAAATGTTTGATGAAAAATTGTAAATTATTATAGACGCAGCTAATTTAGAGTTTTTAAGGTGTTGGACAAACCGGTTTGCTAATTTAGCGAGTTCGGCAGCTGCTCCATAGTTAAAAAGTTTTTTGTCGTACCTCTTAGCTTCGACATTGTTTTTAGAATAATCTTTTGGCAGAGAGGATAATCTTTGGGAGGTAGGAAGGCAAATTTAAAGACCTTCGGTTTGTACAACTTTTGTCGCTCGTAATTGAGATTGCCATGTTAAATGTTTACTTGTTCAAGCCTTCTTCGTCGACGTACTTCCAGGCGTGCACCTCTAGGATCTTGAGTTCGTCAAACATCAGGAGAAACTCCGGCATTTACGGAACCCAATCCTGAAAACTTCCGTCTGCAGATGGTTTGGCCAACGTCAGTTCGGGCAAATCGTTGGATCTCTGGATCATGTAAATGTAGGTAAAAACACGATTTCGAAAACATTTGGTGCTAATAAGCACAAGTAAATTTTCAGGGACAACAGAAATGTTCGAGCCCGTATGGCAAGTACAATTTGTAGTCTCTGAAAAATTCACAAGTGCTTATTACACAAATTGCAAGAGAAATCACTTTGTTAATTGTTAATAATGTACTTGAAAAAATATCTCAGAAAGTCAAGACAGGTGAAATTTTGAAAGTGTGCGCGCGCAATTTGTAATTTGCATCCGTGTTACAATTTTCCAATCTGACTACACTCACACGAGACATTCAATGAAAAAAGTTGATTCAGGATGAGTCAGTCAGTCTACTAGTGTCTTGATACAATCTTAACATGTGCACCCTGAAACAGGGGTCCCACAAAAAACCTGTGCAAAGTCAGATACGAAAAACCACTAAACAGCCGCTAAAAAAATCACTATTTAGATGTGGCCAAAAATGTGTGGAAACGTATTTCTCATCTAATGCAGTAGAACAATACCCCGAGGAAAGGGTAAACTAACCTGGTTGCACTACTACTACAGGGAGTTGGGATACCAGAATTACAAAAATAAAAAAAGGAGGGTGATCAAACATAAGACTGACCGACCTAGAATGACCTAATTTTCCAACGAAACGCTTAAATAAGTGGAAAAGCCACGCGAACCACTTCAACGTGCCATCAATATATTAATTTCTGACAAATTCGTTCTCATGTCACTCAAACGTCAGAAATTACATCTCTTGTTAAAACTTTGCACTCGTGTTACATGAGAATGCAATTGTTATCAGCCAATTAGAGGAGAGAAATTTTTCTATGTTTATTATTAGATCTAATATCAGTCGCACCACAGTGGGAGAGATATCTTTATGATAATTGTAAATATCAAGATTGATCAACAATGTAAGCCCTTTAACGCCCGAGATCTCATCAGTAATTCTCCTTACTGACTTTCATACAAATTTTATGGTGTTAGTTCGGAGAATTTAATTTGGATCAACTGATACTCCCTTGTCTACTTGATATTGTATTGATATTGTAAGGGAAAATTTTGTCTTGGTCACGCAACCTCCAATTCAATTTCTCCATTCAACTTGGTGGGTATATAGCTCTTTAAGCTTTTTGATACAAAGTAAAAATATTTATTTTTGTCAGCCACTGTCTTGTTATTTCAGTGGATTGAAAATCGAAATATTCTGGGTAAGACGCCTGCGGGGCCCCCTCCCCAATCACTCTGCATCACTCTGACTTTCTGATTATTTAAATTTTTCTTTCACTACAGTTCACAGTTAAATGTCTATAATAACAATAAACACATCAATTCCCACAAATTTTCCGATCATTTCGCTCAGTATGTCTGGAATCATCGGCCCTGTCACAAAAACACGCCTTTTCAGTATATTTTTCGTCTTGACACACCGTGCGTCGAACAATGATACTCAAAAGAGCGGAAGAGCTAATTGCTCCAATGCATATAAAAAATAACCGAAAGGCTCTCGAAGGCTTTCTTAAAATCCTTATAGAAGCAATAGAAAAAAAATTACTGGATGGGCTAGAGAGATAAACCCCTTTATGGATCAGTTTTCCACTCCAAAAAGCTATATATCCGCCGACTCTTACAAGACTCCCGCGCTAACGGATCAGGAACTTCGCTGTCACGCCAGCTGATCCCTTCCGACCAATATCTTACGCTAAACTGGAATGTTTGAGCTACCACAGCTATAGGGGTATTGTTTTAAAAATGTAACGACTGAAATGAAAACGAATCAATACGAGGGATAAGAGGTTCTAACGTAAGATCCTATTTCCAACGTAAATCATTCGAATATAAAAACGAAAGCGTTCAAAGTAAGTGTCTTTCAAGCAACCCTCCAAGACGCCATCTGGATTGTGCAAATGTATTTTGGAGGTCATTGGATGTGATCGAGTCTTCCACGATATTGCTAACACTCTGGAGAGTAAGATCCTTCGCCAGACTCCAAAAAAATTGACAGAAATCGAATAATACAGGAAAGCCACACAAAGAAAAATGGGAATAATAATTATGATAATTACAATCTGGACTTCAAAGCGCGGAGGTGAAGGTTTAGCCAGCATTTTAAAAAATAAACTTCATCCAGTTCTAAATCTAAACAGTAATCAATGAAATTTACCCATACCGAAGGATCAAGGTTTAGGTCACCGATACCGAAGGATCAAGGTTTAGGCTCAGGTAGAAATGGTATTGTCACAGAAATGTTTGTCCCGATCCTTAGTTAGTTTCCTGTCCTCAGTCGATTTGTTTACATCTCTTGCAAGTATTTATTTATAGGTTGCCCGGTGCGAAGATGTGCTTCGTACCCCTCCAGCCATATCAGCCCTTTCATAACCACTTGGTACAGTGTGTTGTTATCTTTCCACAAGGACGAGTTAAAATGGCAGATCTGAGTGCAACCATCTATACTGCCTAATGTATGGTTAATCCCACTCATTCCGCTCAGCGAAGAACCGTCTTTCGCTCTTAGACAGGACGAAGGATTACTGACTATCATCTGTGGACATGAATTTGGGAAATCTCCAGGAAGATACACCCTGAGTGTATACTGTTTATCACTGGTGGTTGTCACTCTTACTTCAACCTTCGTATCGCCAGTCGGATTGATCCATGAAACTCTGTTACCGAAGTACTTCTCGAGAATATTTTTCTCTAATCCAAGCCTTTTTTGCTGAGTTGCTGACCATGACATTTTGAAGAAAGATAAAAGCAACTTTTAGTTTGTCTGTACAGGTTTCAAACGAGGAACACTCGCTAAATTCAAATGCTGCGGACAACTATTTTCGAACCGCTTCCATTTCCCGGAAATGGGAGCATGCGTAGATAGCATTGCGTAGCTCTCGGAAATTCAGGAAGATAAAAGTAAATGATGCGTGAGCGTTTTTCGTGGAAAACTTTGTTTACAATACAACAGACTTTTGTGTACGACTGACTGCTACTCTTCGAAGCAGGTAATTTATTTTAATTTCTTTCTGATTTCAACGGAAACTAAAACTGACCGTCTTAAAAATTTAAACTTTAACTTACGGGCACTTCTAATGACGAATTCTGTCTCAATGTGGACAGTGAACAATTCTTAGAACACACGCTCTGATTTTATCTTCGTTGAGCCCGTCGACAAGGGCAACATTTCCATCAAATAAAAAGAAGAAAGGATAAGGAAAGAAAATAATATCTAGCATACATGTTGCATGGTATGGTGATTCAAACAAAAGACAATAACAATCGGAACGCTCTCGAAAGTTCGGCGAAAATGTTGTTAACCTACCATTGTTACGCGGTCATGGTTCAAGTTCCTTGTATCATTCAAAATTTTTCATGCCTAAGAACTCTATCGAAGCGCGATGGAACTCTGCAATGAGCTGGGGCGGAAAGGACCGTACTGGAGTGGACCCAGAACTCTTATAAACCTGCCCAATTAAAAAATGAGAGGAATATGAAAGTCGTCCTAGGAAAGATACTTAAAAAATTGTTTTCTAATTATATGTTTTTTCTTAGAAAGACCGGTAGTTTGACTCAAATTATACACGTGAGTTCTTCTTGGAATCGAACAAGATGTTCGTTTCCCCCCAAAGGCCTATCCGCAAACAACACTCGTTTCATGGAATGCTAGAAAAGCTTGTAAATACCCACTATTTACTTAGTCTTCAAAGCTGAGAGTTTTTTTTACAACAGAGAAAATGATAACTCCATAACAAGAGACTGAAAAATCCAAATAACTAGTGAAGTTGAGAGTATCATTTCGAAGTGAAATGCAAACTTCCGACTTTGCATTAATTTTTCTATGAATGAATATTAGCATTCAGTTGCGCTTTCTTATCGCTCCTGTCGCATAGAAGAAGGGACCCACATCGTGATTATTGGCATTTCCAGATTAGATATATCGCCAGACAAATGTGTTATCACGAGCGGTCCTTTCAGCATTAGACTTTTTGAAAATCTCTCTCTGAAATATTACACTGCATCCATCTGTTTACATTGGTTTCCAAGAATATTGCGAAATTCAATGCTTTTGGGTGAATTTACAGAAAAATCGTGACTAGAAACGCAATTTTGAACGACAAGCCTATTTTAGTGTATGTTGAATTTAAGACCAACACCTTACAATTGTTAAATTGTAGATCTGAAATATTGCTCTGCCGATCGTTTATTTCATGAACTATCGTTACCCGGGAGAGAGGACCATGTATAACTCATTGTCTTCGTACTGGAACAAAGAAAAAATGACATCGCTGTAATCCATATTTAAGTATTTTCCGCTTACAACTACAACCAAAAGTTATCATTCAGTAATCTTGATCGAATGAAAGCAAGCATCTTCTCTATAAAGTCTATGAACAGTTTGGTGTACAACTATCGAATCGTTCTGTCTACCCGACCAACCATAATTTATATTTTAACGATCTGGCATATCGGTCAAAAATTGGCTCAAGGGTTGGCCGGTGCGAAGATGCGCCTCATAAGCTTCCAGCCATATCAGACCCTTCATCGTCACCTGATACAAAGTATTATCGTTCCTCCATCTATTTGGCCTGAAATGGCAGATGCCTGTGTAGCCTTCTACGGTTTTCCCGATGTGGTTGTCTCCTGGATAGCACTCTAGAAGATCTCCGTTACGCGCCCTCAATCTAGCCGATGCCTTGACAACCATGTTGGGACAGGAATTGGGGAAATCAGTTGGCAGATAAATCCTCAGCGTGTACTGTCTGTCGTTGGTGCATGTAGCTCGAACTTCCACTATCGTTTGGTCTCCGGGACTAATCCATGTCACTCTGTCACGAAAATAGCTCTCCAGCAACGTTTTCTCAAAGCCGAGCCTCTGTCTCTGGGCCTGTGACCAGGGCATCACTTCAAGTTGGTTGTTTTAGCTGTTCTGTTCTCTTGATAGGATGTGCACAGCAATGATTCTCCAGTTTAAGTGAGGGAGGTATAGTTGTTAACATTAAATATTGTTTTTTGAATTAGGAATGATGCGCTCATGCGCAAAGAAAGCAATTTGAGGAAATAAAATGCCTCGAGCAATTTCGCTACGTCATGTCCACCCCGAGCAGGGCTGCACTACCATGTAAGGTCACATAATTTCGTCTGTCTATGTACTTTTCATGTACATAAACTACATTTATCAATTCAATCCTTTTTTCATGACAACATTTAAATGTCATGCCTTCAATTCCCTCAATATAATCGAACCTCTGAGAGAAATGCTGCTTTCAAAATTATAGGGTCCCTGCTATTAATATCGCCCCTTAACTGTAGTAGGACACAAGGAAAAATTCCAAAGATTGATCGACTTAATATTCTATTAACCTAAATCTACGAACTGATACGTCTTTAATGTATATATTTTTGTTAGACAAAAATAAAAGATCCTAAGATTATTATGCAGTTGACACTAGTTGTCATTGAGCTCTCTAATCCCACTCTAAAGAAATGTTTGATGACAAATTGTAAATTGTTATAGACGCAGTTAATGTAAAGTTTTAAGATATTGGATAAACCGGTTTGCTTATTTAGCGAGTTCATTCGCTGCTCCATATTAAGCAAGCACTATGTCATACCTCTTAGCTTCGAAATTGCTTTTAGAATAATCTTTTGGCAGGGATTTGGGAAGTGGGAAGGCAGATTTAAAGACTTTCGCTTTGTACAACTTTTGTGGCTCGTAATTAAGATTGCCATGTTAAATGTTGATTCGTCCAAGCCTTTTTCCTAGAACCCAAATCATTTCGTTTACGCAGGTTAGAAAGACAGGACAACAGCAAAATTTAACCGCAAAAACGTGATTCGCCAGAGCAATTATTAATCCTACACACTTTCGGGACCGAGCGATAGTCGTGGCTGTATTTGGAAACCGAAATAGCTCGCACTTTCCGTCAAATAAGATGCATTATTATTTCAAAACTTCGCAAGAGCCGATCGAAATTTTTGCGATTTTCATACAGCTTTGACGAAGAGTTGATTCAACAAGCTCAGGCGGAGAAAATAGGATTTGTGAATTTATGACACTGTGACTGATTTCTTTGGTTTTTCATTCCATTTCTTCTCTAGCTGGTATTTGTCATGGAACCATTAACTCTCGTTACATATACTCACTTTAATAAAATCTGAATATCCTTAACTGACATGTAAACATTTCCGGGAAAAACCGGTAGGCTCAGAGTATCACATGACGTCACGATTTCTTAGAAATGTTATTTACGGCCCATGAAAAAGCTCATCACAATAAAAAGTGAAAAACATTTTGCTCTGATCGCACCAAGCTGCTTCGGTATTGCGACTTATTTACTGATATTTTTCGGTTGACAGTACGAGCCAAGATGAGTCTGACAGTGACAATCCACGAGGGTGAACTTAGGCAGATTAAGCAACATGTTGTAGAAAAACGGATTGAGAGCGGACATCTGTTTGGTCTGTGGACTCATTCAAATCAGCCAGTCGTGCAGTATATCACTGGTAGTCTTAAGGACGAAGATGAAGAAGAGTTGTTCAAACCCCATGCTCTTCGACGCGTTGGGATATGGAGCACAAAAGAATCTGGCGGTAAGAAACGAAATTCAGTGTCCTATTAGGGGAAGTAACAGTGTCTATTTTATTCTATGTGCTAAAGTCAACTACTAGTACCACTTTCGCTCGGTTTGTTTCGTCTTTAATTTAATTTTTTGGGAGGGTGGTTCGCCTTGTTGAATATTTCAAAATTTATCGAAGCAAATGAAATTTGACTATACGATTGTGAAATATAAACGAGGCCTGACTACAGAATCAATTTCCTAGAACTGGAGGCAAACGAAATAGAATACTCACTCACCCCTTCCCTCTACTTAAAATGAACAATTGTTAAGCAATAGATGTCTTGTCCATCAAATTGAGTTAGCTTTTGGCCAAGAAGAGTAACTATATAGCCACTTAAGTTCTGCAGGTAGTGAAAAGTTCACTGCGAGGTCTCATTTTGTTTAGTTCATGATGATTCATATATTTTGTTTAAGGTGTAAACCTAGGTGAAGGAAAGCCCTGCTTTGTATATATGAAGGTTGGTGTGGACAACGAAACACTGGACGTGAAGCAAGTTTGTGTCGTTGAAAAGGAAGCTTCATTGAAGGGAATACTCGGTAATATCCTTAAATATTCGATTGTTTATTTTAAAAAATTGGGGAACCAGTCGCCGTTAGAGTATTTACTACAATAATTATTCATGAATCGGTGCACACACGCGCCCTCGTTATCATGATTTCCACCAAACACAGGACCTTGCAATAATGGGAAACTTGGCAAGATTAGATTCCCCCTATCAGTCGTATAAATTTTTCTTTTTAACATACTGCTGAGCAGGATCATGTTTCGTCTTGTCTTGCAACGCTCTCCCTTCCCCGTCAAGGCATAATCGAAAGATTAGCTATTTTCATATCTCCATAGGGGGAAAATAACAGTAATGAAATTACGATAATGAGAATTTTAGGCGCAAATGACGGTTTTACCGCGTATTAACTGTTTCGTGGTTGTTTAAAAAAGAGGGTCTTGTTGTAAAGCAGCAAAATAATTGAGCCGTCAGGCGTAAATAAGTAAAATTATTTTGTTAACTTAACAGAAATTCATTAGCCGTCAGCTGTAAAATGGCCAAAATTTTAATCGTTTTCAGCAAAAGCCATTGCCCTGTAGTGGCTCTCAGGTAATTGCAACGTTAGATTTTCAGTGCTATGTTGAATATTTCTAAGACTCAGGATGCTTTCAAAATACGGTTAGTTAAGAACCTACACTTGGATTATTTACTCATCTGTTCTTCCAATTATTGTAAACATTCTATGATTTATTTTCACAGAGGTACTGCCGAAAGACAGCGCTTTCCGCCTCAGTAATCCTTTCAGTGGAACACAAAAGAAATATCACAATGATCTGGTAACGGGCGAGTTTCGCTGGACTTCAACTTCATCGCAACAGGCCGAAACAAAAAGAGAGCAATGGTACTCGGTGAAAGAAGGCATGGACCTTTTTGGAAAGATCCATGGCGCTCTCCAGGGGAAATTTCAAGTAACTGGTACAAGCAGAGACAAAGAGACCCACGATCTATGCGTTGCACTAAGTTTTGCACAACGAGATTTTGCAATAGAATTTCCAGCTAATTTTCCTGATGGTGAGGCCACATTGAGTATTGGAAACGAAGATTTTCCGATCTCTTTGAGAAAACCAGTCAAGGAAAAAGGAAACTTTAACGATTCGAAATCTGGTGAAAAGGAAGATGACAAGGCAGATCGTGCAGATGATGTAGCATCTGACGATAACCGATCTAAAGAGGCTGCATCAGAGCAAAGTCAGCGGCCTGGGAAGCATCCGGATGATAACGAAATTGCACAGCTGTTAGTCCAAGGAATACTAAAAATAATTCAGCCAAAGAATAAGGAGAAAGGATCCTCGGTCTAAAATGGAAAGGAAGCACAGTCATGTCATTTGTGATAGTTTTCAGTTTTATTTTTGCGACAGGAAATATTATAAATTTCTCTCCTTTTGTATGAGTTTTCTCGTTCATCTACTGCCTAGAATAATCACGAACAAAAGATTGTATTCTCTTGTCATGATCAATAAACCCTATTTCACACTAACGTATAATGTATCCGATGTGGTGGGCACGCTTACAGCGGTATGAATAAGGGGTGTCGATTTCCGTAATCTGTTTTTGTTTAATGAACACTGATAACCGATAGAAGTTTGACAGTTAAATTTTGGTCAAGTTTCAGCAACAACTGTTGATATACTGGTAGTCCTGAAAAAAAAATTTTAGACACAATATAATTGTTCTTAAGATCTATTACAACAAACAATCTCACGAGACGCCAGAGAATGTAAACTAGCCAAGAATTTTAACAACTTGAAGTGTAATCCGCCAAAATCAATCGAGAACACACGAAAACAATACAATCAAGAATGTAATCAGCTAATGCTTTACAACACAGCTCTCTTCCAGCATAAACTGCAACGCTAAAGGATTATGGGTAATGTCATCAAAAGTCTACATTTTGAATCATTAAATATATTCCTTCAAGATCGATTGGCTGCAAAGAACAAGGGACCTGCATTACTTATCGCCTTGTGGAGGGGG